GAGATATTCTGTTGGGACTGTGAACCCCAACCCCCATTGATGTGGAATAAAACTAACAACATCAAGAGGTGGTTACTTTGCATATATTTCTCACCTTTGGAATTCATAACTAACTGCACAGCTAATCTAATCATCCTTGTGATCTAGCTGTAGTTTGCCTATAATTTATTTGCCAGATATTCTGCTTGAAGTGAGTTTTAAGTCCCTTTTCATGAATAACTTACTCATTACTTGAGTGAAAATGAATGAGTTGTACAGTTTTGTAGAGGAAAAAAATGCCACGACGAGGCATTCCTGTTTAATGTAGTTGTTTTCCTCTCAGGTTGTTACTGTGAACCTCTTCCTGGTACTTTCCTTAACATTTGAGGGCATCAGTGTTCCCAAAGTTTGCAGTGGTCATATATTAGAAATTTTTACATCAAGATAAAACCATTAAATTTATCATACATTTTTATTTTACTTTTAATATGATGCTTGGATAAGTATATTGAAAAATATTTCTCCAACATTTGTAGTAATGCAAAATAAGAAAAAGAGACTGGTTGGTACTTTGTGTTCAATATGTGCAAGAATAATCATAATCTTGCCATAAGTAAAGTGAATGAATTAAATATAGTTAGTATCCAAACACTGTCTATATGCAAATTCCATGTCAACATTTTCTAAATTATATTCACCCTCTGAGACATGTATGACTAACATTACGATTTTAGTGTAGTGAACCGTATCAGTCACTCCATAGACTTTTAAATGAATTTCTAGAGGCAATGAAAAACGGAGTTCATTTGTCTACTACTGTTTACATCTGTGCTTATTGAAACAAGTATACTGTCAAGGGTGAAACAGATCACCAGCCCAGGCTGGATGCATGAGACAAGTGCTCAGGGCTGGTGCACTGGGAAGACCCAGACGGATGGGATGGGGAGGGAGGTGAGAGGGGGGATTGGGATGGGGAACACATGTAAATCCATGGCTGATTCATGTCAGTGTATGGCAAAAACCACTACAATATTGTAAAGTAGTTAGCCTCCAACTAATAAAAATAAATGAAAAAAAATAAATTTAGACACACACAAAAAATAAAGTAACAGAATGCAGTGAACCCTTCCCTAGTCAGTACTTTTCCTACTGGAAGAAGGCAGGTGAGGTCTGCGCTCATCCCAAATTTTTCTCCGAGAATCATGGCCTTGCGTCCACTTTGTGTCTTGAGACGTAGTATCCTTGGGTTTCTGTCCTGATACACAAGTGACCACAAGAAGCCCAGGCTCCCAGGTCATCCCTCTCTTCTATGCTTGGTATCACTGGAGACTATACACTTCCAATTGTCTCTTCATCTCTTAGCCATCCCTGCCTTCTGAGAGCCTTCCACGAGTCTTCTGGAACACACAGTACGTAACTGAAAAAAAAATCCTCATATTTTCAAGCTTTTCAGAATGTTTCTTTTATTTCTTGCTCTAACAGAAATTTAAATGTCTCCTGAGAACACTCTTCTTCTAAAGGCCTTTCTCATCCCTCTGAGCCTGGAACTGAAATGCATGTCCTTCTTGATTTGAGTTGCCATCTTTGGCTCTTAACCATTCATTCTCTCTTGCTTTTCTCTAAGACCTTTTAACTTTGAATTTTATGTACCAGACAGTGGTATGCATTACCTTCATTGTTGCAATAATTAGCTACCAGTGGGTTAATAATCCCCACTTCCACTGGATCCTATGTCTTGAAGGCTTTTGTATCGGATTTGTATCATCTTAAAACCACATCTTGATGGCCTCAGTGTCCATGTGGCTGATACTTCCAAAACATTTGCTTCTCAGCTCCTTGAACTCCTTGTTCATCCCACCTAGCTTTTCACCCTGTTGATTATACCTTAGACTTATCAGGATTGATATCTATAACATCATCAAAAATCTCAATTTAAAGCATCCCTCTGACAACCACTTTTGTTTCTTCATCTCAGATTCTCTGGTTTAGTAAATCCAATTCTTTAGCCCCTTTGACGTGATCTTATGGTGCCCTTGTTTTTCTCTACTCTTCTCTTTTTCTTGTTTTACCAGCTTACACTTCTTAGTTGATCATTAAATTAACTCTCTTGCTTTCACCTTCAACTTTCTTGCCTGTCTCTCACTTCATTTTCCTCAACTTTTCTTCTCTTTGCCAGCACCTGTGTAGGAGGACCTTAAGTGGACTGTTAGTGATTGATGCCTGACAATCATTATATTTAGTCCATACTCTCTCCCAGTCCATACTACTTCCTAAAATGTAACAACTCTCTTCTCTTTCTTCTTATTCTTCACTCTCAGGTGACCAACCGACCATCTTTCCTATTTTTGTGAGAAAACTCAAGAAGAGACCTTTCAAAATCTCTAACTACCATTTCTACCCATCTACAAACAATAGTGCCCATTTTTAGATTTTAGTCATTCTAACAGATTCATAGCAGGTATATATTTTTTAAACAGAATTGGAAAGTAGTCTATTAGGATTTCTTTTTTTTTTTAGGCCTCAGCTTACAGCATGAGGGATCTTAGTTCCTCAACCAGGGCTTGAGTCTGTCCCCCTTGCATTGGGAACATGGAGTCTTAACTACTAGACTGTCAGGGAAGTCGCTGGGTTTAACTGAGCAACTGTTTCTATTTCTTTATTAGTCTATCGATTTATTACCTTTTATAGTTATAGACATAGATAAGATTAAGAAATATTTTAAAATTTAGTAAGAAAAATGGAAATATATTGCTTTCAAGTTAATCTGGACAACTATTGCACAAACATTCTTTTTTTTTTTTTAATTGGAAAAAGACTTTTATTTCAACATCATTGTGGAGAGGCACAGCTTGATGTACAGACTGGGCTCTGCTGCCCGCAGTTTCAGCGTCTCTCGATAATAGAGGGTCTGGACCTGTTCGTTCCAGATTTCCTTCTTGGGCCAAAAAGTCTTAGTCACAGGTTTACAACACTAGGGAAGACATGGGAGTACTGTTGCAAACCTGTGACCAAGTCTATGACTGAGAAGAAAAGGGTTATAAGAAAATGAAAACCTCCTGCCAAAGACTTTTTTAATATCTTGTAGGAGGCAAGATAACAAACTGGAGAACCGATTTTCAGTTTCCCTGGCCATTCTGAATAGCAAGCACTGGTGGTTGATTGTCTGCTGAAGCCAGGTGACTTGTTGAATTTTTTCAACAGTGGCTTCTGCCTGGAACGAGGTCTTGACATATGTGCAACGAGCAGTACTAGCAATGGCCATACCCCTTCTCGTTCTGTCAATAGATACTTGAAGGTCAATTTCCTTTTGGTGCCCACGGCAGTGAATGACTGTTACTCATTGAGGATTTTGAGTCACATCTTTGAGATGTCAAATCTTAGCCCCGTATATTTAATTAACTTCTTTCTGACTATGCTGGGTCTTTATTGGCATGCTCAGTCTTTCTCTAGTTGCGGTGAGTGGGGCTTCTCTCCAGTCGCAGAGGGCGGGCTTCTTCTGTTGTGGAGCACCGGCTGTAGGCTAGCAGGCTCAGTAGCTGCAGCACATAAGCTTAGTTGCCCCATGGCAATGTAGAATCTTCCTGAACCAGGGATTGAACCACCGTCCCCTATACTGGTAGGTGGATTCTTAGCCACTGGATCACTAGGGCGGTCCCTTAGCCCCATACTTTACAGGGAAATTTTTTTTGCATTTAAAAGTCCTTTTTCTTTCCAGATAGCTGCATGGGCATGTAAAACAAGAAAGGCATATTTTGAGTTTGTACATATATTTATGTACCAGGTTTCCCTGGTGGCTTAATGGTAAAGAATCTGCTGACAGTTTAGGAGACTGGGGTTCAATCCCTGGGTCAAGAAGATCCCCTGGAAAAGGGAATGACTGTCCACTCTGGTTTTCTTTTTTTTTTAATGTATTTTATAAATATTTAATAAAGTTTTATATAGAGGAGAAATCTCAGATATAAAAACGTTAATAATACACAGACTAAATTCTCTGAGATAATTCTGAGGAGTCTAAACCCAAGGGAAAAATACGCAATACAACTATGTCCATTTCAATCCCTATGACTTCTCCATTTTAAAAAGGTTAAGACGGGCGAAAAAAATAAGATGAAGGTTAAGATGATTTCAGGATTTAACAAAATAATGAAGAATAAACTTGGCCTCACTGAAATTTTAACCCAATCTTTAGGTGGAGATGATTTAAGTTCATGATTTTTCACTTTTGACTGCTGAAACCTATTTGTGCATATAATCAGAAAGTCAAAAAGGTTTTCTACTGTTGTTACTTTTGCTATAATGACATAAACTGCTACCATGGTTTTAATTAGATAGGAATAAATCTATTTAAATTATACACTTAAAGCAAATAAAAAGAAGTCTAAAAAGGTCTATTACAATGAACTACTTGCTTAAAGTATTTTAAAAAAATATTTCTTCAGAACTAACACCAGATAGCTTTTTCAAAAAGAAATATTGATAACTTACTTTCACATTTATGCTTTTGTCTTTTCTTGACAAAATGCATGATTTACACTGCCATAATTTCCCTTCTAAAATAAACAGCTTCACTGTTATAAACAGATGCATGATTTACACTGCCTTAATTTCCCTTTTAAAGTAAACAGCCTCCCTGTTATAAACAGATCATTTTAAAAGCTCTCCACTAGTGTGCATCTTTGCTCAGTGATGCTGCAGTGAGAGGCTACAGTGAAACCAGGACAAACACCCTCTCTAGGCCATTCTTCACAAAAGACAGCACCTATAGGACTTAGAGAAATGTATTCATAACAACAGGCTTAAGCAAGGAACCTAGAACCTCCTTAGGGCAGTAGGCTGTCTATTCCTCAGGAATAATGAATTTACCATTGTAAATATCAAATATACGTTCTTCAAAGTTTTTTTAAAAAGGAAAAAAAGAAATATTTTGCTTATGAAAAAGCTGTGTTAGGTGTGGCTGACGGACGCCCTGTTGCACATTCTCAGAGCGCAGAGACCTGTAAAAGGAGGCTCACGTACTTTCTCTACTTCCTTGGGCTGGCGCTTTCCTCTCTGGATCCTTCCTCAGCACAGTCACCTACAGAGTTCAGTTCACCCTCACTGTGCGCTTCAGCAGACTCCGTCGTTTCGAGAGAAGGGCCTTCTTTGTGCATGCTCTTCTTTGTGCATTCTTTCCTCTCCTCCCTGCTTCCTTTCAGAGGGCTGGGGTCTCCCTGTGGTCCCGTCCGGGGGACGAGTCCCCTGGGGGCGTGCAGAACGTCACCCCCAGCGGGGCGGGCATCGCCCCCACCCTGGGCCTCGGCCTGGGCACAGGGCCCGGGGGTCCCGTCAGTAGCAGGCATGCCCCCCGAGGTCCCGCCGCCCAGCCCCGCGTCTGCCCCGGAGAGCGCAGGCCTCTCCAGGCAGGGGCCGGGCTTCGCCGTGGAGCAGGTGCCGACGGCGGGTCTGGGGCCTCTGCCGATGAGGGAGAGGTCAGCCCTGTCCAGGAGGCTGGTCCTCTCGGTCTTGGAAAGGCTCCTCTGGCCTTGGAGCGGAGGGGGGCTGGAGGGCAGCTGCTCCCCAAGAAGCCCCTCCGAGACCCTCTCCTTGAGATTGTCAGGAGAAAAGTAATCATCGTACGAGGACTCCTCGAGGGCCAGACTCTTGACAGCGGGCCTCCGCACAGAGCACAGGCCGCTCTCAGCTTCCCACAGCCGCAGGCAGGCTACAGGGCGCTGCCGGAGGGACCGCCTCCTCTTCCGCCCCTCCTCTGAGGCTGGCCAGTTCTCCGGGGTCTTCCTTCTCTTGACGGAGGAGCCCAGGGCTTGTGCACGGCCCTCGGGGCGGCCTTTCGTAGCAGAGGACACAGGAGACAAACGCCTCTTCCCGTCAGACAGCCCCTGGGCCGCCGGCCGCGATGGCTTCGAGACGGGGGTGACAACCCCACCTGCAGCCCGGCTCTGCTGGGGGGTCTCTGCCTTGGGAGGACTGCTGGTGGATCTGGGAGGAGTCCAGAGACCCAGGGGACGGGGAGCTGCTGAGGGGCTGCCACGGCCTGTCTGCAACACCGGCGACGCAGCGCACAGATCACTTTCCCTCTCAGTGATGAACTCGCCCCATTTTCTCTCCCGGGTCCCACTTGCAGAGCCTCCACAAGGATCGTCAGCAGACATGGGCAGACCACCGGCAGAAGAGTTATCTGAACACAAAGTATCATGTGAAAGGTTCAAAGATGCTTCACACAGAGAGTTCACAGTGTTATCATCAGGCTGTTCAATCATCTGGGAGGAGGTGGGGGAAAGGTTTTCCCGTTTCTCCTTCATCTCCTGCAGCCTCTTCTTCATTGCACTGTGGTGGCCCCTGTAGACTTTACCGGTCGGGCTGTATACCAACGAGCCATTAGATTCAAATAAGAGGACAGGAACATTGGTACCCAGAGTGGTTTTCTGCTGCTGCAGCTCTTTAGCCATTTTCTCAAATTTCTTTTGCAGCCTTTTATCATTTTCTGGTGTCTTGGGAATAAAATCTTTGGGCTGCATACACTTGCGCAAAATCTTCACAGAATAAATTTAAAGGCACCACATCCAGACCCTTAAACTTCTGAAAACCAAAGATGAGAAAATTTTTCAACCCAAAGCACTGAGACGAGCTTCACACCTCTCTTCTGTGCTTTTTCCCAGGTGCTCTGGTACCCGTCTTTGAACACCACATGAGTTACTTGTTTGTTAAAAGTTTTTGAAACCTTCGCCCCCAAACCCACGAGTTGACTCCTAAAGGTCTTGGAGTAATTTTCTGTCCCATTGGCTGACCACACTTCAACATACGCCACAACATCTTTTAGGACCGGGCCCCGGAGGTTCCCGGGGGCCGCCATGACGGGCAGCGGGGACGCGCAAGCGTCTGCACAAACATTCTTATATTTAGCATTCATTTGTAAGTGCCAGGGCAATTCCATGAACAAGAACATCAGAGCAGTTTGATTTTATATGATACAAAATAGATTACTTCTCCAATATTTCTTACTCTGTCATGGGATTTTTTCTTGTGGTTTGTGAAATTCAGGAAATTTTTGATGGCTTTCACTTTGTTATTCTTTTGTGACCTGGGTCTTCAAATAGTTCAGGTGCCAAAGGGAAGAATGAAGTGTCCAGGAAGCCTTAGCCAGTCTTTGAACTGCTGAAGTCAAGGTTGTTCTTACATTTTCCTAATCTGGATATAAGTTAGGGTCTATTGTCCTTTAGTTACCTTTTGAAAAAGAATGCATTATTGCATGCATTATACTACCTTTGAATACTTTTGGTCATATTCTGTAACAGCATAATTTTTAAAAAAATATTCAGGACTAAATTAAAGATGTCAGTTATATTGGATATGAGAATGATTTCTAGGAAGTGACCCAGAGCTTTATGGAATTTTGGAACTTCTTAGTCTAAAGGTTAGAATCCTTCCATTTATTATAGAAAACATTTTCTATTGTGATACAAGTACAATAGTTTCATGTATTGGTAAGGATATATATTTTTTAGTCAAGTATACATCTGGGTTCAATTCCATGTTGAGTCTTCAGTGACTGAGTGACTTTGGATTTGTTACCTAAATTCTGTGATCCTTATTTTCCTTACATGAAATATAGGTTGCTAATACTTAATTGCTTTATAATTTTAAGTAATGGATTCAATGCAGATAAAGCCCTTTAGTATACTTAATACTGTTAAGAATTCAACAGATGATGAACATTTTTGTTAAAGAATTTATAAAGCTAAAATAATTAATATTAGATTGCTTGGGATTAGTAGCTACTGATTGAATAGTAGCATTGATAAAGTCATTTCCTTTTTTAGTGTGCCTTTTACTTGATAGACAAGTTATCTAAAATCATCAGGAATGATAATATAATTCTAAAAAGTGAAAATAAATTGTCATTAAATATAAAAATAATTAAAAAATAAAAGCAACTATAAAAGGCATCAGCTAAAAGATTTACTAGGTCATAGTAATAATGGAACAATATACTTCTTTTATAGAAAGGAATAAAGAAAAATTCATACAATTAAAAATGAAAATATAATCCTTAAGATATTAAAAGCTTGCTGAAATACTAAAATGGTACTAGCTAGCAACTGGCAAGTTTTATAAGCATTAAAAAATGCAATTCTAATATGCTAGACTTGAGTTGCAGGTTAAAAGTGGGGATGCTGCTGCTGCTGCTAAGGTGCTTCAGTCGTGTCCGATAATACTAATGTTGTTGCTCAGTCACACAGTTGTGTCTGACGCTTTGCGACCCCAAGGACTGCAGCATGCCAGGCTTCCCTTGTCCTTCATTATCTCCCAGAGTTTGCTCAAATTCATGTCCATCGAGTCAGTGATGCCAGCCAACCATCTCATCCTCTGTTACTGTCTTCTGAGGATGTGAAAATTTTAGGAAAATGGAATTCCAGCCAAGTTTCGTGAAAGGCTAAACCATAGGCTAAAACATATAGGCACAATGTCCTTTCATTCTCTAGCATTTATTCCCAAGAGTAAATGAGGGCAAGCAAATTACCACAAGTATAACATGCCTACCAGCCATAGGCCAAGCCCTCGTCCATCACATTCAGTAGCCACTCTTTCCTTCTAGTTGGATGGTAAGTAGAAGACAATGGGCATGTTGGGTGGCAATGAGAGCTGAGCTTGGAAGAATACAGGAGCTAGTTGATAGAAGGCTGTGGTCTTGATAAATGTGCATAGAAAGATTACATTTCCTAACCAAGTATGTGTTGCATATGGAAGTAGTTATGTCTCTCTCAGAGGTTCATGTTCACCACTCCATCGTGTAACATTAGGGAAGTCTTTTTTTCAGTATAAATATAGAGATACAAATTGATTACACCATTTCTGCAGTCAATACAGAATATATAACTATTTTAGACATTCTTAATAAAGACCCGAAAGTATTAACTCTTCTTTGGTTCTGCATCTGTTTGCATCATCTCATAAGAAAAAAATAAAGGACTGAATAGCAGTATCAGCAAACCTTTCAGTATTTGTTTTCCTGGGAAGTTCCAAACAGTACCATCTTTCAGGTTACATTACTACTCTATCAGAATTTTTAGTTCTATTACCAAAAATGGATTTGCAAATGGAAAACTAGGAATATAACAACAAATTGAAGGTTTAAGAACCAATCAGTGATATTTAAGTAACAGGAATATTCAAGAATTAAATCTTTCCAGGATCACATCTACAATATCAGAAATCTGTCTTTTTTAATCTTATATCTAAGAGCTCTGTATGGTGATAATATGCAGTTATATTTGAACAGTTGTCAGATGACCGTTGATTTCTCAAAATTTAGAAGTTTTGAATAAATAATACTTGTATGATCATAATTTTAATTTCCAAACAGATGCTTAGTGAGCCATTATTTTCATGGGATGGTAACGTCAACAGTTAAAAAATAGGTTCGTGGGATTGAAGAGTTGGCAAACAGCACATCTGGTGGTTCATATTTCCCGGAGACTTTACACTTGTCCTTAGTCTTCATCTGTCAGATTCAGATTTATTGCAAGTAGGAGTCTAGCAGAAAGCAGGTGCTGTTTTTTGTATTCTTATGTAATATTTTATGTCTTTAGGGAGGAAAATAATATAACATGGCATCTTGTTGAAATGCATGCAGGACCCGTTCCTGAGAGCCTCACAGCTCCCCGTGCCCAGTGCTTTGTTCATATGGCAGCTTAGGGTGCCTAGTACTTGCTTTAATATTATTTTCCCTAGCTTTATTGGGATGTATTTGACAAAATTCTAATGTTTAAAGTGTACAATATGATGATTTGATACACTTTCTTTTATTTTTTAAAAATGCCTTGGTTACCAGTTTGGTTTTGGTGAAGTTTTAGGCTAATGCAAATTACTTTCTTAGCCCTGTAACTCTGAAATTTTGAAGAGTACATTTTAAGTAGATCTTCAGTTTAAATGATTAACTGCTCAATATATTTATTACTTTGCAATGCTACTGTTTGTACACTCCCTAAGGGCATACATCCAGACCAACCTTTAGTGCCAATTATGACAAATACTCCTGAATCAGGAAGATTCCCTGCAGAAGGAAATGGCAAACCACGCCAATATTTTTGCCTGGAGAATCTCATGGACAGAGGAGCCTGGTGGGCTGTGGCCTATAGGGTCAAAAAAAGTTGGACATGACTGAAGCAACTTAGCATGCATGCATTTACAAATTGATTACATAGCTTGGTTAACCTGATCAATGAGATTGGCAAATTTTGTGTTAGTTGTTATTACATAATCCATATTCAGGTATATAAAAAATGTAGTATGTAACATGGATATATGCCTGGAGAGGTAACCGTGACATATTTTCATATACTTTAGCTGTTTTCCATTGAAAGCAATATTAAAGAATTTTTTAAAAATCTCTATAAATTTTAAACAAATTGTTTTTTATATTTGTGATTTGTAATCTTGACTTTGGCAAAGACTGTAAAGAGTTTTGTTATAGTACTTCTTTTACATTTTATAAGAAAATGGAAAATGACTTCTTATTTCTTTTATGGAAAATATGGTATATCAACCTGTGATGTATGATTATCTTTTCTTACTATTCTAGCCCTTCTTCACCTTCCAGTGAGTAGGACTCTTTCTTGAATTGTGTCCTTTGTTCATTCACAATGATTAGTGATCACATATTTTACAAAATGACATTTTGTTTAAATGCTGAACTGGTACAACTAAAATTTTTCCTTCACTATCATTAGTAAATACAAAGGTATTCTTAGACAAGGGAAATGCATTCCTTTCAATGCAACTTGATATTATTTTTCCTTTTTCCTTCAATTAATCTTAAGTGCATCCATCACATACTCAATGCAGTCTATATTTATAGTAAAATATCAAAGGGAACCTCAAATTCAGTATTGCTGGTTGATCAGTTAACATTCTCTAGGCTTACATTAAAAAGATCCTGGCTAACAACCCAGAAAGTTGGACTTTTTCTCGCTGTTTACACGACAACAAATAAATATTTGGGAGGGAGATTAAATTTGATTTTGTCTTGGGTCTGTGTCACCTCTAAAATTTTCACAGTTCTCTGTTTTTTTGTCATTACTTTTCAATATGCTGGCTATACAAGTTTAGGAAAAATAATCTTGTAAGATACTTGGTTATGGGTGAAGAATTCTACTATTAAAAACTGTTATGTTGTGCTAATAAAAAAGACAAGTAAAAACAACAACCTTTTGTTGTCTTCTCATAAATCATTGTAGCAAAAATTGATACAAACTGCAGATTACCACAATGAAATTCTGGGCTAGTGTAGTGCTTACCTTGCTGTATGTAACAAATAGTGCTCAAAGCACTGTTGTAATAAACAAGGGTAAGGGAGTAATAGTTTTATATTTTGCTATGATAGAAAAGTTTTTTCTCTTTTGTTGCTTCATATGCAAAAGACTTTCATCCTAGTATACTTGAGGTACTCATCTGCCAAGGTAGAAACAGGGACTTGGTAAAATAAATAGAGAAAAATAATAAGTAAAATGTGATTATCATATTCAGATTTGGATTACAAGGCTGAACACAATATTTTCAAGCTAGGATATCATCCAAAGAAATTTCTCCCTCATTTTTTATATCTCTCTGAGTGTGAAGAGACTAGTTGAAAAATTTGTTTCAAGGGCAGTAGGCTGACCTGTGGGATTGTGGAAAAGCAAGCGGGGGATAGGTAGAAAAAGGCCAGAAGACAATTTTGCTCCATATAAGACAGAAGAATAGGGTTATTAGACAAGTGATGGTGATGCAAGAGATAGAATCAGAGACTTAATGCCTAATTCAGTTTTAGGAACTCTGAAAGGAAATGATCCCAAGACAGACCCCTGTATTAATTTGTGATGTGAGATCACTGACTCAGTGGTGCAATGCTGATGGCAGAGGGAGACTTGGGGTTTG